ATAACTATTGCAATAGATAGCCGAAGGCCCTAGTAGCCAGTGCTTAATCTTTGTGTATTAATTATTAATAATTAGTTCTCATTTATATAAATAAATAAAAATAAAATAGTACAGGAGAGTGATGAGAACATAAATCAGTACACGTATCAAATGTTATGTGCGAATCATCTATATTTTTGACTACAGCAAAATCAATTAAATCTGGCATTTTGTTACGATCACTAGGCCAATATGTCAGTGGCGTGTGTTTTGCATTGTAATATCCATCTTACAGAAATCTATAGCCTAGTGTTCCCAAAAAAGTCTTTAAATTGGATGTCTGTTATCTGAAACCGGGGTGGACAGTATATGGCCGTCAGGTTTAAGTCCCCGAAGCGATTTTTTGTAGTTATTGTTGTATCTTGTAATTGCGCTGTAGCATAAGATTCTAAGACGTGGTGATTTAACCGTTTTCTAACCAGCACTGCTGTTCCTTCATATGCCTTTCCGTCTGGGTGCTTTCTGACAATAGCATTACATCAATATTTTTTTCATGAAGAATTCTAATAAGTTCCAATTTATGTTTGTTAACACCGTTAGCATTTCATAAACAAATTCTCAATACACTCATTTTTTTTCTTAAAAAGGTTTGCAACATTTGGTTTTTTGATTTGATTATCTCTTGAGTTATATTTTGCATTGAAGCCACAAATTATGTTATACATTGGGTAAGGATGAAAATCATAGTTTCAATGCAGTATTACCTTTCACCTATGGCCGGGGATTTCAATATTTCCATTAGGAGGAATATTAAAATTTTGGTTACGACGTGCTTGAATGCTCTGTGGAAACTTCGATTTCAAATCTTTATATACAGGGCAAGCCCTGTAGTTAGCAGTATCACAATTAGTGAAGGAGTCATTGTGCTTTATGTAGTTTTTAACAAAACCGTTATATACCGTATATTACTTTTGCTCACCTAACGGTTGTTTATATCACCAAAAACTTAGGGAGATTGAAATAGGATTATGTATACATAAATAATCACTGATGACGAGATGAATTGAAATATAGATTTCTACCTGTCCATCCGTATGTCGGTGTAATTAAAAATTAAAATACCTTAATGAAACTGTGTACAAATGTTTCCTGAAAAAAAAGTAAGGACAGGGGTTTTTTACAATTGAGTGAAAATAGATGAAATCAAATTATAACCAGGCCCGCTCTCCATATAACGGTTTTGTTAAAAACTACTCGTATATTACTTTTGTTCACCTAACGGTTGTTTATATCACTCGTACTCTGTAGCAGCATGATACAAAAGTATAAAATCGTTAATTTCGGGTGTACCGTAGCTATAATGCTCTTCACAAAAACAAAATATTCCTCAAAAGAACTTGAGGTTCATCGAATACTTTGTATGACATATACAAAAGTGAAGAACAAGTCCGCGTAAATATCTTACTGACAGACAAAGGGACGTAGCTAAATTTGCTCAACTAATCATGCCTATATTTTATATATATGATTTTTTATAAACTTTGTGACAAGCTAGAGTATATTAAGCTTGCCACAAAGTTTGGACATACAACTTATGGTCAATTTTGAGTTCTTAATATTAATATAAACAGGTGAAGCATTGTAATTTTGATTTCCTATATAAATTACATATTAATATTTTCCTATTTTGTTTGGAGTTTATTGCATCTGAAAAAATTAATGTAAAGCAAAAATGGAAAGTTATTCTTTTAGGGAATTTAATGATCTACAAAAGTGGTCAACAGTTCATTAAATATTGTTTTGCGAAAAAAGACATTCCAGAGCGCCCGAGAACTCTTTACTAATTACACTGGTCAACAAATTTGTAATTTTTCTTTGTCACATGAACATTTATATACAAGTTTTAAAATACTAGGGCTACTAAAATAATATATCAATGAAAAAAAATGTAGACATCATGTTTTCTTGTGATATCAAATCATATAAACAAAGTACAAAATTCAGCTACACTTATAGAATTATTTCCTAATATCTAATAGCTACTTATGGTTTTCTTGAATATTTGGCTTCCGGTAGGTCCCAACAACAGTCAGCTAGCATTCCTGGACTCCATTTCTCTTGATAACTCTTCTCCATTAAGGAAATGTCTCGATGGAACCTCTCACCTTGTTCGTCATTCACAACACCCAAATTTGCCGGAAAGAAATGCAGATGAGAGTCCAGCATATTCATTTTCAAGGACATTTTACACCCCAAAGCTTTAAATGATATCATAAATTAGTTTAGGGAATTTCTCTTTTAGATATAAAAAAAATTAATCTCCATCTTTAGGCATAGCTTTTACAAAATTTTTTACTAGGCCAAGCTTTATGTGCAACGGTGGTAAAAGTATGTCATCAGGGTTCACTAGATGATCATTTTTAACATTTGTATGGCCTGGAATTAGTGATTCACGCTTGGACCACACTTTCTTTGTATAGTGACTTTTTCTGTCCCTACTGTCCCATTCACAAATAAAACACACATAACAAAAATTGTCCGGGTTGTTCAAACACTTTCGAGGCATATTTACGATCTAACTAATGTAAATAAAATGTAATTTAGCAAACACAATAGTTACACAGTCGACTAAATGCAGTTATGTAAACAAAGAAACGTATATAAGGTCAGAAATAAATATGTAGCTCTCACAAGAAAACTGGATGTGATAGAAATAATACTGTTATATATATTATTTTTAATGACAACATAAATAAAAATTGCAACAAAGTTCATGTGACAAAAACAGTATTAAATAGGTCGGAAATTATTTATCGGGTTTACTTTAGATATTTAAAATATAATTATTTACGGTAATCTGACACAAATTTTGTTAAAATATTGACTACCCCCCATAAAAATCATTGCAACGCCTTTTTAATATACTATTTAATTGTCTGTTACGCAAATTTTATATTAAGAGCACCGCTTACGTTATTAACTTCTTAGAAACATTTTTCACAGATTCTTGGCTACACTAGTTCAATCTCGACCATTTCCGGTGTTATCAGTCCGACTAACCTAAGTTTGTATTCATCGCCGATAACTGGTGCATCAAATGCACCTCATCGGTCTACACCACGGCCACGATGGAACCCGCCGTTCCTTATGGAAGATGAGTTTAGCATGATGCAACATTCAGTGTCCAGCACAAACTCTGAAAACGCTCCAGTGATATTAATGGAAGATGGTAAGCAACACACAATTCATGTATAGATTATGACAATTACCCGGAAATTGTAAATAAAGGGAAAAATATTTAATTATTAATCAATATTTATTTCGTCACCTTCAAAGTAATCCCCACTTCTGCCAACGATTTTTGGGACGGCCTTCAGCTCCTTTAGCAGATTTTGTCTCTTCGATCGACTGAAAACAAGTTTCATTCCGATGATTGTTGACTTGTTTGCATGTGTTTGCAAGTATGTGTCATCGGCAGTTATAATGATCTCCATAAATGTGGGATCGCAATTCCCATAATCAAGTATGTTCAGAGAGACTCTTTTCGAAAAAAAAAAAATTCAGTTAAAGTCATTCGAACGGACTCACGAGAGATGTCGAGCTTTTCTATAACACTTGCCTGACAATTTTCAAAGGCCATATCTTTCACTCTTTTAATAGTTTCATCAGTTGAAGAGGTCGAACATCATTCAAAACATGTCTGTAACGATCTCTTGACCATCTTTGAAGGCTTTGTCTCCCTTGTAGGCTTGTGATTTTGATAAAACTGAATCTACGTAATCCGCTTCCAAGATTCACACTGATTTCGCATACGAAATTTGCTTATAAATACAAAATTTAAGACAAATTTCTTGATCTATTATTTTATCCATTGTAAAAATCGCAACGCACTACTGAGGTGTACCGACTTAACTAACTGCTGTAAATAAATTGATTGGCAGATTTCGCTTATATTATATTGGGCATTGTAGTTAAGGACACTTTTTGAAGTATCATTTACCCGAGGAATTGAATTACAATTCCGCGATGCTTTTTTATCACAATCTACATTCTACAACATATTTCATATATAACAATTATTGAGTTAGTTGTAGTGTTTTATTATTTTCATTGCTTTATTTATATTTTCACACTAAAGGATATTTTTTAGTAGTGCTCAAGTAAAATTATTTCATTATACTAAAAAAATCTCAATTCCAGTTGGCCGATATAATGAAGAATATTCTCAGAATCGTGACTACATAACATGATTAAATACCAATTGTAGGTGACTACCATTAAGATAACTAGAACTGTTTAGATAATATAAGTTAAAGTTTATATGTAAGTTCCCCATTTTAAGAGCTAGTGAATATTGTTTCGATTATATAAGGCAATTATAAATGTAGTTATTGAAGCTCATATGTATACATATAATATGTGTATTTATACTAATAAACTACATATACATTTATAGGCACACTTGAAGATCCAACCACGCTTTCCTGTGGCTGGGATGTAATTAAATTATATTTTATCATTAATAATTACTCGATTTAAGTATACAATCATAAACTTCAACGATTACGATCACGAACAGATTGTAATGTGATATGTGAAGTGTAATATAAATTAGCATCCTGCCTTACCTATAACCTACTGACTGTACACAGTAGTTATAGTGTATAACGTTGCAGGAGGAAAGCAGGAAAAGGCACGTCGTATGCCCGATCTCTAATCAAATAGTATTGTATTGTTCAACATTCGACGGTGATTTTGTAAAAAAGGTCTCCGTTAGGACCTTCGATAGGACGAAACAGATGAAATAGCGTTTCATTTTTATACATAACAAGATTAGACCTATGTATACCTTTATCAATATGCCTTCATTTTATACATTTAATACCAAACTCAATATCTTATGGGAAAAAGTTTTAAAAACATCTTTTCATACGCATGATTTAGTTATTCAAGAAATGTATTTGCTTTACAATGGCTCAATTGGTCATGGTAGCCTAATTCATACAATTGTAAAGGCTTGTGTATAAATCCATTTGCATATACATACACATATGCTTTGCTAGTGAACATTTAAATATAATATACATACATACATATGTATGAGGTGCATAATATTTTCGGAGTAACTTACACATTCTGCTATGTACTTACATATATTTTATAAGTGCATATAAAATATTTTCAAACACCTATGTACATATACATACTTGTTCATAATTATCTATTCCTTTGTGTGGAAAGTTTGAAAGAAGTTTTTTACCATCTCATTACAATACTTTATTCGAATTAGTGTTGAAAAATGCATATATAGTACATATACATATACACATAATAGCTATAATAAGTGGTCACAATTGTATGAAAATACATGTGTACGGGCATATAAGATTCATATACTATAAATACCTAATAACGCATTTGCAAATAGATAGGACTGACAGTCCTTATGGCCGGACATCTTCCATAATTGGACAAATTTCATCAACACAACGTTTTCATTAATTTTTTCGTATAAAGCCAATTCCTGTAACATGAGAACGTTCCAAGAACCGGTCACGGACACTATTTCAAACGGACAAGCTTTCTAAATTTGTCTAGAAGATTGTTTACAATTTATACTCCCGCTACTTTACGAAAACTAATGGGATAATTGTCAATCATTCGTTCTCACCCATTGGCTCGCATTTTTTAGTTCGTTAGAATTATAGTTTTAATTGCTGCTTCTGAGCCTAAAAAGATATCTGAAACACTCGTTTTTACCACGTCCCTGTATATGAACAGTATCTTTAGCAGGACAAAAAACAGTACGACGGCGGGTGTCCGTCTGTGTAAGCTTTGTTTGATTATGTACTAGCAAGTCAATTTAAGGATAACTACTCTCCAAAAATCGCTTACAAGTATTCGTTTCTCACGAGAAACTCATTAAAAAAGCCCTATTGTAAAATCTTGGACATAATATAATTAAAACTTCTGAATGAAACATGACTTAATATCACGGTTGATGACTGGGTATGGTAGTTAACTAAGTTTTGAAATAAGAAACATGCATACATGTATGAGAATGCATAATTTGGGATTACATGTTATTAGAGTACAAACCTCAATGTAGATAAATAGAGATACGATATGTACATAGATGCAATGAAATAACTTGTCTATAATAATAATTTTGTCGCACTTTATTTACTGTTAAATAGTTTTAGGTCGTTGTTGTCACTATTTCTTATATGTATGTATGGGTGTGCAAATCGTATACTATATAATACTATACAATTAGTCGAAAATGCATATCGTTTATGCTTCCATTACTAAAAAATACTTTAATATGTCTCGTATGTGAGCATAAATATTCTTAAGTGTAGATATTATATTTAAAATATGTACCACGGTTCACATTTTACTTTTGACAAAGGTCATTTAGGTAGATCGTTTTGATTAGATTCGATCTAACGAGAGAATTTCGTGTTGCATTGATACATTCTCCACATTAAAGAAATGGTGGTTAAAGGTAAAGATGGCGTCGGACATAGTTCGCAGCGTTTCTTACTGATTTCAAAATTTTAGTAAAGAAAATTTCATGTAAATAAAATTTCAAAACCAAATTTAGAAAATTTTCTAGACTAACATTTTTTTATTTTTAATTGTGACTTTGCATAATAGCATTAATTTTGTTGCAATCAATATTCCAGTGGCCATATGTAACACAGCTTGAATGAAAAAAAACCTAATTTTGATTTAATACAAACATATTTCTCATAAATTCAACAAAAACATCCTATGGCAAGGCCAAATTCTTTTGTATTTAAAAGTTAATTCAAAATAAATTTTTTAGCAATAAATAGAGCTAGCTGACAGTACCTATAACATAATAATCTCAGTGTGTCTCTACATTTATTTGCTTCCCCAATAATTACTAACTTTAATATGAAGCATAGGACGATAGCACAAATTACTCGCTTTGTACTGTCAACCTGTGTCATAGAATCCTTTTTTATTTCACAATATGCGTGCTGAAGGGAATTTTGTACAAATTCTAGAGGTATTTTCAAAAAAACCTGTTTATTTTAAAAAAAAAAAACTTATTTAAAATAGTATGTCCTTTTTTTCGCCACTAATATTATACTCAGGCGGCTTTAAAATTTTGTACTGAATAAGGAATTCATAAACTGAAGTTTCAATTGCATTAGTACCAATAACGTTCATACAAAAACGTGTAAGTATGTATGTATGTAAAACGGTAATATGAGTCATAGATATTCAAAATGGGGATAGGCTAAAAACTATATGTTATCTTATAATTATTTAGATAGGAAACTTGAAATTGAGGTTACAAAATATACAATAAATTCATTAATATTTGTAAGCATACAAGCAAGGGCTTACACTGATATAAATCAAAAGATTAAATTGAGACAATAGTAGATATAATTGAAACATATGTAAATTAACTCAATAACGTTGGAAACTAATTTTACGAAATCGTAATTCATTAACGGAACACACTAAAAGGCACATAAATCAGTCTAGAGCTATTGCGTGCGTGATTTATAAAAATAAATGATATATAAAATAAATGTGTTAAAAATATATACATATGCTCGTTTATAAAGATAGAGAAATCTCCGGTTAACTGAACTTGAATATTTGTACATTAACTGTTTAATTATCTGGAGATTTTACTTATTTATACTTGTTTAGGTTTAAAGAAGCCTGACTAAGCGAAAATTTCAAGAACAATTAAAAAAAACACTAAAATGTCATTTAAATATGTATTTTATTTAAAGTTAGTTGAAATAAATTGGTACTATATGGTAAACAGGCATGATCTAAACTAGCTCAATTTTTACAGATTTTGTGGTGGTTAATTTTTGTGTTTTGGGTATGTTAAGGCTACGGAGGTAAATTACATACGTACATGTATTTTAACATCATAAAAAATAAGAAAACGGGTTTACGAGATAAATCGATTTTTTTGAAATCTACCCATGCGGATACAGGTTGTGCAATTTACAATTGAAAGTAAGAGAGAGAAAAATTATGGACTATCTAAACATATTGTAATATTAAAATGCTAAAAAAGGAAATATGAATACACAATTTTCCAAAAGGAAGAAAAAAGCAAAAAAGCGCAATTTCATAAGAAATTTTGGATTGTGAAGAGGTCTTTCTTCGTTAATTTTATAATTAAAAAGTCCAAACCCGCAGCTCCACTCGCTCTTTGTTGATAAGGATATCATGTATCGTAATAACAATATAATGGAATAGTTAAATTGGCAATCAACATGTTTATTGACTTCGTAAATCACTTAAGCAAATGTACATAGGTACATAAATACGTATGATGTAACATCTTCACAGTCTCTGTATCTGCATTGTACGAGTATATCGTTACACATACTTAAGGTATGTATGTACTTATATAATACACTGTGGAACATTTTTGGGATAATTGTCTGGGGGGTGAGAAATTCCAAGTCAGGGTGATGATACTAGGTCAGTATAGTAAAACCCTCAAAGGGTTTGGCGTTCGTTTGTGTCACTTTTTTTATGACCTTTTTAATTTTTCCCTTATCTTGATGTTTTTTCGCTAAAAAAAAAAACAGGAGCGGGTAAAAAAACAGTGAATCCGTCAGCAGTAAAGTAGGTAGTTTGCTATACCGCGCGTGAAGATTATACCCATTTTCCTCCTCACACTTACCTTCTTGTTACACGTGTGCAATGCTTCACGAATATTCGTCAGATATTATGAAGTCATCTCAAATTATGATTCAACCTTTCCTTATTCAGTTACAACTATCACTATAATTCAAATTCCCGCACTTGGACTAAAGGAATACCCGTGCAAATTATCACAAGCTGTGGTTTGAACGCTATGGGCGAACATACCAAAACAGCGTTTCATTTTTATACCCTTGCAGCCAGTTTCCACGGAGTTTTATAGGTTTGTTCACCTAATGGTTGTACGTATCTCCTAAAATTATTCGAGACAGATGTAGGGTGGCATATCATACCACTGTTAACAGCAAAACTTTGCTTAGTAATCTTTTCTTAGTGAACAAATTCTTTTATAAGTACACGCTGAAATATGAAACGTGCGCATGATCGCTGTCAAATAAAAGCTTGCTCCTCCTTAAACTTTTCTGTACAATTTAGTCTTAAGCTGATGAATGAAATAAACGGACGGGTGTTCAGTTAATTCTCGCGTTTTATTAAAAAACACTTACAGCGTTGACCTTAGGCTACCTAGCCCGGTCATTTATTGAACTCAAGTGCTGACAACACGCAAGTGGCACAGTCGGTAGGATAATAATTATTTATGCGATAGCTAGCCTATTATCTGTGAAAGAGCTTTCGCGAAACCTAAGCAGTAATCGGTTTAAGTCTAAAGCTTAGTATCCAGCTCTCAAGAAATGTAATAACTTCATATAAAAAACGCTTAAGAAACGGTTAAGTAACTTTCCTGCTATAAATTTACTTGTGCTAGTATGCAGCTCTAAAGATATCTAGTACTAATTTTTAAGACATTTTTTCAATAAAATGCGAATATGGCCAACCTGGTTTTGCGAAAAAACATCAAATGAACAATTGTTTCTTGAAGGAAATTCAAAGTAATCGTAACGTTGTATAAAAATTACCAGTCATCAACAACATTCCTTAAATCGGAATTGAAAAATGTATGTTACAATACACATACACACATACATATTACGCACAAAGTTTATTTTCTTTCGTTTATTCTCTCTTGCTCTTCTATTGTGGATCATTCACATAGCGTAACCAACCGTCAAAATTACTTGAAGAAATAATGTATTTTTTTTTTCTTGAGCAATTACTTGAGAGCTGGATACCAATCTTTAAGAACGAAATTCGACAGTGAACTGTGACTGTGAAAGTGATTACGCTAAAACTTAAACAGAAGTTTAAGAAAACGCCTTAGAATGCGCCAGGGTGATAAATTCATGAAGGTTTCTCTAACACAGGCGAAAAAACTAAGTGTGCAAACAAAAACATTCAAATAAATAATTAAGTGAAACAAATCTAATTAAGCTAACACAAAATTATAAACTAAGTGTAAAAACATTGAAATAAATAAATAATAAGTAAATAAAACCAACAAAGGCACAATTAAAACAATAGCTTAAAAGAAGACACCAATAAATTTTCAACCCAAGAAGTGAACCCAAACAAAGACAAAATTAAAACAACAGCCTGAAAGAAGACACCAATTAATCTTCAACACAAGAAGTGCACCCAAACAAAGACTAAACTCAAATGCCAGCATTAAAGAAGACACCATTTAATCTTCAACCCGAGAAGTGCACCAAAATGAAGACACAACACTGAAATAAGCGACTACTTAGCATTAGGTCCAAGCTAATCAACCGTAAACCATAAATACACACAATGGCAGTAGCAGCACTAGTGCCGATCTCTCTCTCTCTGACTCGAATATGATTCAAGTCGAAAGACAAATATCCGCTGTAGAGAGTTTTCAAGGTGACCCGAGCACCTTATACGCGTACTTAAGTCGTATCGATTTCATCTTGGTCTTATATCAAACAACGGACGAACAACAAAAACCCCTCATCTTTGGACGTACTTATGTATAGAACGGAACATCAATGGCGACGTCATCCGCACCCTTAGAGTAACCAACTTCACTAATTTAGCTACAAGCCACAGATTCAAAACTATCATCTACTGGAGAAAATTTTTAGAAGAAGCCAAAAAAAGAAGGCAAGTACTAACCAGTAAATTAGAATTAGAAAACAATACGCCAGAAAATATTTTGTACACTAGACTAATCCAAATAAGCATTGAAATTTTAATTCAAAAATTACCCACTAACATTTATCTTAAAATTGTTAATTGTAATATCCCAAACTTAAAATCACTTATAAATATCTTATAAGAAAAACTCCTCTATGAAACACCAACCCCAAACAAACTGTCAAAATAATTTACATAATAGTAAAATCACCAATTACTCTTTTCGAACCATCATAAAACACAACTTATCAACTAATTTCCAACCAAGGGAAAACATGACAAGTAATAGCACCGTTAAGAGATAGAGATCATCAGATAGCGGACAGTCACGAATGAGTATAGAAGAACTGAGATACCAGGAAGAAACACCATGTCCGTCTGAATACCCATATATCCCAGCTTACCTCTATTATATTTGTTGACCCCATATGAAGCTAACCTAACCCATCCTATGATACTCCAGAACAAGGACTTGATAACACAAACCAAACGGAAGAAAGAAAACCAGAACCAAATAACAGCGAACTACATGACATGGAGTAATCATAAAATTTTCGGCTAGCAGCCCGGATCAAGCCAATAATAATAAGAATCTAAGGTGCCTTATTGACACCGGTTTCACAATAAAAAATGTTGACCAAACATATTTTCGAAACACCTATCCAACAAACTAAACGTTTAATTCACGCCAAACAATTTAGACTTTAACAATAAATGAAACTACAACACTGCCACCGAACAACTATTTCCCAATTACCAAAAATTTTTAATTCACCATTTCTCAGACCATTACGATATGTTGATTGGACGTATTTTGTTATCAAAAACTAACGCCATAATATACTGTCAAAAAGGAACAGTTGACATATTTAATAAAGCACATACATACATATTTAAACTGATCAATACATGTAATATCATAGAACAAAATCATATTCAAGAATATCCTTGATGAAGACCCCATATTTTTAGAACGCTTTACATTACAAGAAAATATTTTGACTAGACCATTTAAATATAGAAGAAAAATATAAACTAACTAATCTGCTAAAATAGAAATAGAGACGGCGTATTCGCTAGTTTAGCTCTCCAACGATGGCTCGAAAGCGAAGACATAGAACTACAACTTAATACAACAAAGATATTCGCAGCGGACATAGAAAGGCTCCATAAAACAATAAACGAAAAAATCCGTGTTATTAAAAACTCAGACGACAATGAAGCTAAATTAAGTAAGATGGAAACAATACTCTATATTTACAATCACAAAACTAAACACGACCCAACCTGCTCACATATTTCTTTACGCCGGAAAACCAATCTTAGGTACACAACAAAACAAGGAAACTAAAATTAAAGTCGATACCAGATATAGAACAGGAACATTACAAAAATTCAAATTAGAAAACTCATTTAAACTAACGCAAAATGTTGAACAAACTGATGAACATCATTATAGAATTACTAACAGAATTCGAGAAATACATAATATTCCCATCACGGATTTTGATTGGTCCACATGTTGATCGTCATTTATATCCTCACGACCTTTTTCAAAACGTTGAAACTGCTCGTTCACTCTGTTACGGGTTGGCAGTCGACATACGCCTCCTGGTGGCGCCATCTACCAGGGGGCGCTAGACTCAAAAAGTCCTGTTTACTTTGGAAATCACCTTGTATATATGTATATACATGATCAGGCTGACGAGAAAAGTTGAAATCTGGTTGACTGTTCTTCCGTTCGTCCGTGCAAGCTGTAAGTTAAGTAAAAATTGAGATATCTTGGTACGCAGGTTTCTTAGTACAAAAAAAGTTCGAGTTCGTAGATGGACGTACTTGGCGACTGCCACGCCCACAAATCGCATTTAACCAAAAACATATAAAGAGACATAACTATTTTTTTTTTTTTGTTTTAATATCTTTTTTTTATTTATTGAATCTGATTTTTGTTTTAAAAGCATAACAATAAGTTATAAAATCTTAAATCTAATTAAAA